TGAATATCATCTGAATCTGAACATTCAATTTAGTCCTTTCTAACAAATGCTTTTCAATTTTTCCATCTTGTAAATGTCAAAGTTAGACTCAGGACTCATAGTTTGTCAGACCACTCTGTTTTATTAGCACAGCGCTCTGCTAATACATTCAGATAATGTGAGCCCCCATGCAAGATTCAAACAGTCTTATTTATACAGATAAAAGGATGCAAACTAAACAAAGGGACAGAGAGAGAGCAAAATTGTAAAATTTGCATAGGGCACAATATGCATATTCTGCTTCCTTATTAACTCTTATCGATCTAAGGCTAATGCTTCACCAATTGCCCTTAAGTGGCAAGTTAAGCAGTTAATGTCTGCTTTCCTGCCCCCTGGCTTGCAGCATTTCTCATTTCTACTTAAAGGTACATACAGCATTCTTTAATTCATTCTATTTCTTTAATATAATTAATTTCACTTTCACATAGTCTAGATGAAATTCCTGTAAAGTTGGTGCAAAACCATATTCAGAGTAGTCATCTGTCAAATTGGGAGGATGTGATGCAAAAGATTTTGTGCTGCTCTAGTCTGTTTTTTAAGCACAGCAACGAAAGCATTGCTTTGCCACCATTAACTGAAAATAGGGGGAAAACGGAAATAAAATTAACTAGGTTGGTAAAAAAAAAAATAGGGTGGCAACAGTAGATTTTAACTTACGCATCTTAATGTTAACAGTTGTATACATATTGAATAGATGAGCTAACTGTTTACAGTTTAAGAGTTCGGTAATTTGGTGTGTGTAGAATGTTAGCACACACCCAAGGAGAGGGAGTTGGCTGTTTAAGCAATTTGGTCTATCACTAGTATGTTGGCAGGCAGATGTGGACTGAGGTTAAGAAAAGGTCACTCCAATACTACACATAGGGGTCAGTCAGGCATGCTCAATCCAAAATTTAAGTGTGGGTCACCAGACCATAATACTAAAACTAGTTGTGTGACAGCTTTAGCAGTTGTGATTGGTCTAAGTATGAACCAATCAGAGAGGGTTTAAAGGTGATTGGCAGATAGAGTATGCTAATAACAGGATTGGGAAACAAGCAGTCTGAAAGGGTATAATGCAGAGGTGGGCAAACTCTGGCCCAAGGGCCACATCTGGCCAACCAGATGTTTTAATCCAGCCCTTGAGCTCCTGCCAGGAAGTGGGGTCTGGGGCTTGCCCCACTCTGGAGCTCCAGCTGGGGAGTGGGTCGGGGTCTTGTTCCACTCCGCACAGCTCCTGGAAGCAGCGGCACATCTCCCCCCTCCGGCTCCTACGTGTAGGGGCAGCCAGGGGGCTCTGCATGCTGCCCCCGCAGTGCCCATTGGCCGGGAACTGCAGCCAATGGGGGCTTCAGGGGTGGCGCCTGTGGACGGGGCAGTACGCAGAGCCGCCTGGCCACACCTCCACGTAGGAGCCAGAGCGGGGACATGCTGCTGTTTCTGGGAGCTGCTTGAGGTAAGCGCCACCTGGAGCCGGCCTCCCTCCCTCCGAACCCCTCGATCTCAGCCCAAAGCACCATCAACCCCTCATCCCTAGTCCCACCCCAGAACCCACATCCCCAGCTGGAGTCCTCCTGCACCCCCCCCCCCCAATTTCATGAGCTTTCATGGCCCGCCATACAATTTCCAGACCCAGATGTGGCCCTCAGGCCACAAAGTTTGCCCACCCCTGGTCTAGTGGCTGGTAAAAATGAATGAAAGGCAGACAGTCAGCAGGCAAGAGTCAGTTGAGCACACTAGGAGCAGGAGAAGAAGGAAGCAGAAGTAACAGTAGTGAGGCAGTTGGGACAGAGCAGAAAAGGATCCTGACAGAGCAGAGAGAGAGAAGACTACGGAGAGGAAGCATGCTAGCTATAGTGTAAGATACAGAATAGAAATAGGATTAATGAGCCTCTGTACATGATAATAAAGATGTGTCTGTGTTATGAATATTACATTATTCTGTATGTATAAGGTTTAAGATTGTTGTCAGTAACTGCAGGTGACTAAATCACTGCATGCAGAACACAGCCGCTTAGTATTGCTCTTACGATATGTTTATGGTTTGGGTACTTTTAACCTGTGCTTAAGGGATTTAAGTTTGTTTTGATTTATGTTTAGATCAATCTTCCCTGATTATTTAGTGTAACTAATTGTAAGAAAATACTTTGTTTTGAAAGCATATTGCCTGGGTGTCTGTCCAAGGGTAAACAGATCTGGTCTGTTCTGGGGAATTTCCTGAAGAGCATGGGGAGATCCTTGGTAAACCCTGGCAATTCTACTAGGGCAGGCCCCTTCCTTTCACCTTGCAGGAACAGATTAATAGGTTAAGATGTGGGGAACCCGGAAGTAAGCAATAGGAGAGCTATTCTGGGTTCCCAGACTCTGTGCTTGGGGTAACAGATGGATGTAGTGGGGATCTGTTCTGGGTCTGGTATTTTTCAACATTTCCATTAATGACTTTGATAAAGGAGTGGAGAGTGCTCAGAAAACTTGCAGATGACACACAAGCTAGGAGGGGTTGCAAGCACTTTGGAGGACAGAATTAGAATTCAAAATGACCTGGAGAATTGGTCTAACAAACATCAAAAAGATGAAATTCAATAAAAACCAGTGCAAAGTACTTCTTGTTAGGAAGGACAAAATCAAATGCACAACTAGAAATCAGGGAATAACTGGGTAGGTAATAGTATAGCTGAAAAGGATTTGGAGGTTATAAAGAATCACTAATTGAATGAGTGAATAATGTGATGCAGTTGCAAAAAAAGCTAATCTCTCTGGGGCATGGTCATGAGGTTCACTCACTGCTGGTGGTGCCTCCTCCTGGCCAACCTGGGGATTAGCTCCAGCCAGGCATTGCGCCCTCCTCTGGCAGTCTCTCTCCTATCCCTCTCTTGCTCCAAGACCTTGATGTGACTTGGCCTTCTGGCCAGGTCACTACATGGTTCCCCTTTCCACGGAGGAATGTAAAAAAAGTATTTCCTAGAGAAAATCATCCCAGGTACTCTCCTCAGTGGCTGGTAGGGGAACCTTGGCCTGTACTCAAGGCTCCAACTCAGGAGCCCTGCAGTTAGCAGCCAAGGCCTGCACTGCTATTCCTTGCTGCAATTCCCGAGCCTTCTCCTAACTTCCCCCCTCTGGGTTTGCTAGTCTCCCAACTACCTTCTCCTACAGAGCAACTGTGGGCTATCCTCAGTAGGCCCCACACACCTCCCAAGGAGTGACTGCAGCCTGCCTTCCTGCAGCCCCCATCTGCACTCAGCTCCTGGGCTTTATACAGGCCCCTCCTGTTCCTGCCCAGCTGGGCCTCATTTAATCAACCCCTGCACCCTAGCTTTTCCTGCAGGTGCAGCCTGGGGAGTTAATTGGCCCACCTCACCAACTTAACTTCTTCCAATCCTGTATGGGGTGAACACCCTATCACAGGCATATTAATAGGAGTGTAATACATAAGGCTATGATTTAATCACAGGTATTTATAATAATTTAGTAAAAGTCATGGACAGGTCACAGGCAAGAAACAACAAAATCACGGCCCCATGACCTGTCCATGACATACCATAAATACCCAATTGAATCTGAGGGCGAGTGGGTGCCGCCAGGGGAGCCCTGGGGGATCTGCTGCTGGGGGTGGGGGT